GATCACGCCTCCCTGACACAGGTAGGTGAGGTGAGGTGAGGTTGATCTTGAAGACTGAAGATTGTTCTGGTTGTCAAGACTCAAGTCAGGAGGCTGTTTCTAAAGCCAGGATATGGGTGAGGTCATCCATGACAAACCAAAAGGCTCGGGGAGGAAAGAGGGCCCTCAGGGGTGACCTTCTGAAGAGTTCTGGTGCTCAGGGGGGCCTCCACCCTGTTGTACACTCTCACTCCCAGCAGAGACAGGCAGGGGCGGTGGGCAGGGAATGTTTCCAGTTAAGAGTGTAGGAGTGAGTGGGAGGGAGCCTTGCACTGGTCCCTCCTGTGTAACCCGTACCCTTCAGCACACTGGAAAGTGCCTTGTCAGCCCACCAAGGCTGATTTAGGACGGGGCACTTGCACAGCTGCCTTCCCTGGGAACTCTCCTGCTAGGAGGCTCTACTTCTCACTCTGGCTCCAGGAGACACTCAGGAACTCCTCCTCCAGGCCAGCAAGAGGATGATTGGCTGAGAGCTGAAAAAGGTCAAAGGCTTTGCTCCTTGTGGGTAGGAGTGGGGCCTCCCAGAAGGCTTTGTTGCTATTTGGAACCCAGAAGCCATTTGGGTGTGTTTAGGATTTTGGTGATTTGCAAGCTTTGGAAGTTTTCATAGCCAGGTATTACAGTGGATAGTTAGGAGCTATGAAGAGTGTGGCTATGCAGAGGGACTGTCACCCTGGGGGGACTCCTGCGCAGTGGACAACTGGTTCAGATGCCAGGTTCACTTCCTGCCAGCTTGGGAGCCACTTTGTGCCAGAAGGGCATTCTGGAAGGCCTGATTTTTGGAATTAGAATCTTCCAGAATCCCCATGAAGCTCCAATGATTGAAATTTCCCCTTGCTTTTCCCCAGAACTGTCTGGCACCTCCACCCCATGCTGTCTCTCTGTTGGCCTGGGAGACTGAAGTGGGAGATAGCAGGGGAAAGGAGGGGCTTGGGAAGACAGAAGACAGCCCTGGTCTGGCTCATCCTGTCTTGATCCTAAGTGGCGGGGGGGGGGGGGGTGTTGAGTGTCTGCTCCCTAAGCCTTGTTTCCTAACCCTAAAGATGAAGAAGGGTGAGAGGAGGCCTGGAGGTCACTGGGATTTTCATTCCTTTTCCTGGGCAAGAGCTCCCTAGAGAGGTTGTGTGTGTGTTGGGGTGGGGGTGGGGACTTATATGGAGAGGTGTATGGAGTGTGTGTGTATAGAGTTCCTCTCCTTTAGGATATGGACTCCACCTACACAGCCTGGCCTATGTTCACCCCTGATAACTTGCTGGTAGGGCTTCCACTCTGCCCAAAGGAAGGGTGTTTCAATGTACAGACCCCATTCCTGTGCAAATTTCCCTGTGTACTGGTGTGTGACAGAGTCCTGAACCCAGGGCATCCACAGATATGGTATTGCTGGAAGGGTGAGAGAAGAAGTAGAAACAAGGGCAGAGCTGGGAGACCCAGGAGTGTCTGGATGGATGCCCAGTGCAGGGCAAGTGGGTAGGCAAAGCTGATGGAGTCAGCTCACAGTGCACACAGCCTTTGACAGTGTCTTAGTCACTGTTCGATTGCTGGGAGGAGACACCATGACAAAAGCAAGTTAGAAGAGAAAAACTTTTAATTGGGGGCTTGCTTACAGTTTCAGAGTATGCTGGCAGGGGGAGAGAGAGAGAGAGAGAGAGAGAGAGAGAGAGAGAGAGAGAGAGAGAGACTGGTTGTATGGGCTTTTGAAACCTCAAAATCCACCCCCAGTGACACACCCCCTCTGAGTTTCACTCCCTGGTGACTAAGCATTCAAATATATGAGCTATTGAATGATGGTGGTGCACATCTTTAATCCCAGCACTCCAGAGGCAGAGGTAGGAGGATCTCTTGAGTTTAAAGCTAGCCTGATCCACAGAGTGAGTTCCAGGACAGCCAGGGGTACACAGAGAAGACCTGTGTCAAAAAACAAAACAAAAAAAATCAAATACTTGAGCCTAGGGGACCATTCTCATTCATACCACCACATTTTCCCACAATGCCCCAGAAGCTAGGGGAGGTACCGATGTCACCTTCAAAGGAATCATCTGCAATTGCCCAATACTTCACAGGGTACCAAATGGGATAGTTTGTAGAAAGGTGAGGAAGCCAGAGTAGGGGAACAGAGATAGGCAAGCACATCATCCAGGAAGGCTGCAAAGAAACCTCAGGTGGTGTCTGTGCTAGAAGGGCTAAACATCCTGGGCAGAACAGGGGAGTGGTGGGCAGTCAGAAAGCAGCCCTGGGAAGCTGAGGCAGACTGGCAGGGTTGGCTAGGCAGACCCCCTCTTCACTGCCCTAGGCCCTTCTTTTGCCCTCTGAGCACAGTTCCTAGCAAGCCTGCTTGGAGACAGAGCATATACAAGGAGGATGTGGGTTTTCACAAGTCAGGACTCTGCAGACAGTGGCAAGGGCTGAGGCTTAAGCTTGGGGGTGGTCAGAACCTGATAATTTACCATGTGAAAAGTTCCACAGCCAGAGATAGCCATGCCCCTCCCCACAGACCCTGTCTGGGTAGGTCACATCCTGGAGGCCTCAGTAACAAGCAGGCCAAGAGGAAGTGGCTGCCCTTGTTTTGTACCTGTCCCAAGACTTCCGATTCTGACTGAGAATTGGGTCAGCCTTTGAGTCGCTCTTACAGGGTCCCAGTCCCAATGGGTGATCTGAATTCCCCCAGCAGCCATTTTACAGTGGTGTTTAAAGGAAAGACAGCGAGGCAAGGGAGAGGCAGAGAGGCAGTCAGGCATCCACTTAGATAACAGCTCCATGCAAGCCCTCAGTGGAACAGATGCAATCTCTCCAGAAACTTCTCTTTGGTATAGTGGGCACTTCTGCCCCAGCCTGTGAGGCCAACTCACAGTGGGTGTCAGGAAGATCTTGCCCTGCTTCTGGGACCCCATGTGTGAATTAGCTATTGTGACTTTGCTGTCAAGCCCATCCATGGTATGTGGGCACATTTTCTGGTATGCTGGTGTCATTTTCTTTGATGAGACCCTGAGGTGGGAGAGTTGGCTCAAGTGTCAGATCTCCCATTCAGCTGAGGACCCCCTCACACTGTTATAGAATGGCTGACCTTGTTCACTTGCCCTGCCAACAGTGTGTGTGGCTCCTTTGACCCACAGCCTTACAGCAGGGACTTTTATTTTTTAAATAGTAAACATTCTAACTGGGGTGAAATGACAGGTCAATGAAGTTTTGATTTATATTTCCCTGATGGCCAATCATACTAAGCATTAATATATATTAGTTATATATATTACAATATAGAATTATATATAAATGCTTGGTATTAATATATATATATGGAAAATATGTAAGTAACATATATTTCATTTCTTCTTTTGAAAAGTGTCTATTTGCCCAATTTTACAACTAGCTAGAATTTTCTTTTGTTGTTTGGTTTGTTTATCTGAGGTAGGATCTCACTATGTAGCCCAGACTGGCCTTTAACTCATGAACTGTTGCCTCAGCTTCCCAAGGATTACAAGTAACGCCACCCTATGACTCAGGGGGCAAAGGCAGCTGGGTCTCTGTGAGATCAATGCCAGCCTGGTCTACATAGCAAATTTCAAGTCAGCCAAGGTGAAAGTGAGATCCTGTCTGTTTTTCTTTTTGCTGCTTGTCTGTCCACTCTTTTCAGTTGACTATGGCCCTCCTGTCTATTTTTGCTTTTGGTGTCATATGGAAAATCATTGTCTATAGAAGCCTTATGGAAGTCTGCTGGTGTCTACATAGCAGAGAGAGAGAAAACTGACTCCTACAAGTTGTCCTCTGGCCTCCACATGGCATATGCCTCCCATACCTACACAAGCAAATGTAATATACTTTTTATTTATTTATTTATTTATTTTTTTGGTTTTTCGAGACAGGGTTTCTCTGTGTAGCTTTGCGCCTTTCCTGGAGCTCACTTGGTAGCCCAGGCTGGCCTCGAACTCACAGAGATCCGCCTGGCTCTGCCTCCCGAGTGCTGGGATTAAAGGCGTGCGCCACCAACGCCCGGCTATTTATTTTTTTGAGACAGGGTGTCTTAGTGTCTATTGCTGCAATGAAACACCTTGGCCAAAAGGCAAGTTGGAAGAGGAAAGGCTTAATTTCTCTTACACTTCCACTTTGCTCTTCATCACTAAAGGCAGTCAGGACAGAGACAGGAGCTGATGCAGTGATGCAGAGGCCATGGAGGGGTGCTGCTTACTGGCTTGCTTCCCATGGCTTGCTCAGCCCACTTTCTTATAGAACCCAGGACCAGCAGTCCAGGGATAGCACCACCCACCATGGGCTGGGCCCTCCCCCATCAATCACTAAATGAGAAAATGCCTTACAGCTGGATCCCAAGGAGGCATTTCTTCAACTGAGGCTCCTTCCTTTCTGATGACTCTAGCTTGTATGTCAAGTTGACACACAAAACCACCTAGTACACAGGGTTTCTCTGAGTAACCCTGTCTGACTGTCTTGGAACTTGCTCTATAGACCAGGCTGGCCTTGAACTCAGAGATTCACCTGCTTCTGCTTCCCACGTGCTGGGATTAAAGTTATGTGCCACTATGACTGGCCACTTTTTTTTTTATTAAAAATTAAAAAAAAAAGAAAATTTAACAAAACAAGTAAGAATCAGTATTCTAGACCTCACAGATACCAAGATAAAGCCTGCTGAGGCACCTCATTTTGAGGTGCCAACAAACGTCACCTTTTCTAGGAAGCTCTCCTAAGGCCATCCTCTTTGAGCCTCAAGAAGGCTTTGTGTGACCTGCCCTTTGTCTCTGCTTCAAATACAGACAGACCTTAGTAAGGCAGGCCCCTCTTTGAGAACAGCCTGAATACCATGCCTGCAAGCCTTGATTCCAGTCTGGCTGACCATGCTGCCTTAACAAGGGACTGAGGACAATCTCCCACACAGTTCCTTCCCTTCTCAGGCTCCATTCTATGGCCACATGCTAGAGGTTTTTGTTTTTTGTTTTTTTGTTTTTTTTTTGTTGTTGTTTTGTTACATTTACACATATTTATCAAACACTTTGATCATATTCACCCCATTTCTCTCTCTTGCTCCCTCACTAGTCCCCTCCCTTTTCTTAAATCATACCCTTATACTTTCACATTTTTTTTTTTTTTTAAATTAGACACTGCCTATGAGAGAAAGCATGTGATCTTTGAGTCTGGCTTGTTTGATTTAACATGGCCATCTCTAGTTCCATCTATTTCTCCACAAATGACACAATTTCCTTCTCTTTGGTGTCTGAATAAATCTCCAGTGTATGTTACATTTTCTTTATCTGTTCATGTGCTGATAGACACCTAGGTTAGTGCCATATTGACTGTTGTGAGTACTGCTAGGTACCCAAGTGGTACCCGAGTGTATGCTGACTACCCAGATTGAACTGGGTCATCCCCAGTTCTGTTTTGTTTGCTGGGGGGCCTGCACAACGCCTTCAATAGTGACTGCACTATTACATTAGGGCACAGGTTTCCTCTTCCAAACATCCTCACCATTTTCTTTTTCTTTTTTAAAGATTTATTTATTTATTATGTATACAGTGTTCTGCCTGCATGTATCCCTGCAGGCCCAAAGAGGAAACCAGATCTCATTACAGATGGTTTTCAGCTACCATGTGGTTGCTGGGAATTGAACTCAGGACCTTTGGAAGAACAGCAAGTGCTCTTAAGCTCTGAGCCATCTCTCCAGCCCCCACTTTTGTTTCTTACACATCTTATTTCAAGGCTTTCATTCCTGCAGTCTGTTCCCCTCTAACAAAAGCTTCAGCAGTTGGGGGATACTGGGTATCACTTGGTCTTGCACAGGGGTCCCACAGTCATTTGGCTCCTGGGAGTTCCCTCAGTATATCAGTAGAAAAGAGTCAGGGACAGAAGGAAGGCCATGGAAGCTTCCTGCCTACCATCATAGGCAGAAAGAGCAGAGGATGGACTTTTCTTAGATTCCCCCTTGGAAATCCCAAGCTAGCTTCTGTGCACACAGTCCCCATGCCTGCCTACCTCCCCACACTCCAACCATCTGCTGACAAGTCAGAACAAAGTCATCAGAGCAGAGAACAGATTGCTGCCTGTACAAGCCTCTGTGGTCCTGGGGGGGTCTATTGTCATTTGGCCTTGACCTCATCATGTTTCTCCAGGACATGGACCCCTTCCTCTTCAGGGCCTTGACACAAGTCATTGCCAATACCTGGAGGGTTGTTTCTCCACTGGCACGGCTCACTCTCTTCACCCGGGGTGTGCCTCTATGCACCTAGTACCAGCCTCAGCCCACCTGCGAGAATGTAGTTTCCCCTCTCAAAACTGAGAGCCAAGTCCATCTTATTCACAGCAGTGTCCCCAGCATCTGGCAGGGAACACAGCAAATCTCAGTAGCTTTGAATAAATGAACACCTTCCCAAGGTTGTTGACAACCTTGGGCCCTTGTGGTCTCTGACATGTTGGGGCTTAGGGAAGTAACATCCTTGTCCTAGGTCTGAGCCCTAGGCTGAGTGAGGGATGAGTCAGCTCCTGTCTCTACTTACCAGTGCCACATGGTCCTCCACAGCCTGCCCCAACCACCCAGATTCCTGCACCATGCTCATTTTGTCAGGCGATAAGGACAGTGGCTAGACCCAGGCTCAGCCTCAGGCAGTTCCTTCTGTCCACAGGAACTGCTGCTGCCTTTTACACCCTGAAGGTTTCTAGGAAAGGAAGGTTCCAAGGGAGTGAGGTTTGTGAGTCACCAGCCATGGGTGGAAAGGATGGGACTACCTGGTCTGGACTGCTGAAAAGACACTAGATCTAGGTTCAGGAAGCCACTCCTCACCTAGGAACCTGCCTGGTCCTGGGCCCAAACAGGAGAAGCAGCCTGAACCAGTCTGTGTGCTGACAGAGGCCACCAAGTGAAAGGGGCTGCAAACAAACACATCCCAATCCTCCCCAGCCTGTCACTGCCAGTACAGGAAGGGTCACAGGCAGCTCCTGGGTGCTCCATATTCTACAGCACTCTTTAGAGGGTGACCGACCACATGTCTGTCAACTGTAGACTTTGGGGCCTGGACCCAACCTACAGAACCAGAATATAGACATGGAAGACAACATTATATTGGGGGCATGGAGATCCCTGATAATAGGGGTTCACTATATTAGAGTTGAAGGGAAGTTTTCTTAGCACCAAAGTCCCACATGCACCTGACAATGACCCCACTCTATACACAGGGGCTCCATTCAAGGACAGCCAGGTACTGGGCAAAGACTGATAAATACCTGCAGAAAGCATGGTTTTTCAAGACAGGGTTTTTATCTAGCTAGGGCTGGCTTCAGACTCACAATCTTGGGATTACAGGCATGGACTCCGTGAACAGCTTTAAAGAAGGCTTCTGAAGGGCCCTGAAACTTTCTAGTCTACACGCAAAGCTAGTGGCTTGCTCCCCAAATCATAGACACCATCTGCAGGGGCTGAGCAGAGACTACACAGGAGTCTTTTTACCCCAGAAGGATCAGGCTGAGCCAGACAAACACCTATTTTCCTTTACCACCCATTTAGACAGCCCACACCAATAAGCTGGGTATAGTGGTATATGCCTGTAATTTCAGCACTGGGGAAGTTGAGGCCAGAGGATCTCAAGTTTGTATCAGCCCTTTGTAACAAGTCCCTGTCTCAAAGGAAAAGGAAAGAAGGCAGGCAGGCAGGCTGGCTATCAAAGCAGCAGAATGGGGCTTTGTTCTTGGGGAGCCAGCCACAGTGTGGCATGAATGTCTTACTGGGTGGGAGGCATTTCCAGGAATGCCCAGTGTGGCAGTATCAGTGATGGCTGTCCCTACCCGTGGCTCCTACCACTGATTGAGTAGTGTCTGAAGCTGGGGTATTCTTAGACTTAGCAATCAAGAGTTTTTTGTTGTTGTTGTTTTATTGGTAAGTCAGTCTGGATAGGGTTTCTGTCCTTGAAATCCAGAGTCCTAAGGGAAAACATTGCTTCTACTGACTGCAGATAGAGATGGGGACAGGACAGGCACCAGATATTTGGAGGGTGGTGACAGGGCAGAGACCTTGATGGGCTGCTCTGGGTGGGGGGGGGCACAGGCTGCAGCTCACCTGGGCCCAAAGGCACACACAGTGCATCTGGGGTCTAGCTTGGCAAGGACTCAGCCAGTGGTCAGGTGGTGATATCTGCATGGTGGTGGGTGTGCAGGCCTTCTGTGCTGGCATGGGCTGTGCCTGTTAAGGGGTGGAGGTGGGAATGGGGTCTGAAGCTCAAGCTTCAGAGTGGAGTGGACCTCCACTCTGGTCTGGTCTTCCCTTTGCCCTCTTCCACCCTGGTCTTTTAATGCTTGGGACACCTGGCCTGGTCTAACCCCAAGGGCTGTAGTAGCCTGGTCACCAAGGACTTTATGTTCTGGGCCTTGTGAAATGGAAAGGCAATTATCTGACCAGAAGTAGAAGAAGGCCTAGGATGCTGCTGTCTAGCAGAAAGGCACTATTAATAGCTCCGGAACAGCTACCTGTCATATGCCTACTACCATGGGCTTGGGTCCTAGCAAAATCAGACAGTTCAGGACCTGCACTCTTGGGGCTGTGGGCAGTGGACTGGCTTGATGCAGACACTCTGAAGGTGAGGGTCAACTGTGGAAGGCTGACCAGGAGACATCAGAAGCATAGAATTCCACCTGGCTGGGCCAGTCACCATCTCCACTGCCTTCTCTGTCCTCATCGGAGTCATCATCATCACCACTGGATGCACCACAGACAGCACCGCCTAGGTGGGTTGGCTGCCCTGGAGAGTCCCTGTACCTCTCCTTGGCCTCCTCCCTTCGCTTTTGGGCGGCCAGCTCATGGTAGCAGAGGCTGCAGACACGAAGGGGTTTGGGGGAGAGACGTGGCAGCAGAAAACGCTCCTTGGAACACTCAGCACAGACCACAAACCCACATTTTCGGCAGTGGTGACGCCGGGTAAGTGCCGAGAAGCGTGTCTGTGTGCAACGCATGCAGATGTCCGTGGCCTTGTCAGGGATCCAGGGTGCTGCATGCTCAGTGGTGGGCTGGCGGCCTGTGGCCAGCAACTGCCTCCGCACACACTCTTCAATGTGGCTAATCCATTCCTGGCGCTCCGTGGTAGAGGCTGCGGACACCACAAAGGACTTCTTGGCTGTCTTGATCATCCAGCGGTTCTTGGCCTGTGGGGTCCCTGGCAGTGGCTCCAATGTTACCTCTTCCAGGGGAATAATATGCTGGCTGCGGTACTTGCGCTTGCTAAGCACAATACTGCCATACACCAGGATGTCATTGAAGAGGAAGAAGATGCGTGGCTTGGCCTTCTTTCGGCACTCTTTGGTCAGCACCCCCTCGCCCAGGAGCACACGGCCAGGCAGGGCCAGCGGCTGCCCTGATGCCCCAAAACAGCTCTCCACTGCTGCGATCCGCTGGCTGTTGATCTCTGTGTTTGCCAAATGGTCCACCATCTTCTCAGTAGCTAAGCTGTAGGAGGCAGAAAGGAAGGCCATCAATTTGCCCATGAAGTCAGAACCACACTGCTCATCGCCCCCTACACCAGCTCACTCATGCATCAAATCTATTATCCCCAGCCTACCTTGCCTCCCAGGCACAGAAACATAGAGCTCCAGAGGCTGACTTGATACAAGGAGTGGAAGATTATTGGGGGTGGGGTGGGTGATGGGGATTCTCCTGTAGGAGGCATATGGGAGGCAGCTGGTGGTGGGAAGACAGCCATGAGGAGTTAATGCAAGAAATAAGAGACTCAGTGGTCCTAGGAGCCTTGGAAGTAGAGCATAACTCAGGCATGCATCAGGAGCAAGGAAACTGGAATGGTGAGCCTCCAACTCCCATCAGCTGTTTGGGACAGTCTGTTATTGGAAGGATGGGGGTGCACACACTGAACAGTGTATGTTGGACAATATGAGTGTCTGGATCCAAACTGATCACCGACTCTTCGATCCTTCATCTGCCCAAGGTAGCCAGCTGTTCTGGGTGGCTGAACAGGGGCCACACTGCCATCTCAGGGGCCATGTGCTGAGTACTAACTCTCAGGCAAGGGCAGCTTTACTTCATTTAGTCCTCACACAAACCCTAGCAGGTTAGAAAACCCTCTGCCCCCATCTTACAGGAGGGAAACAGACTCTGGTAGTTAGTTGGAGGGAATGCAGCTCAGAAGACAGAGCCTCCTCTGTGGAGTGCACTTGGGTTCTCTGTTGATATACTAGGCAGTAAACACTGGTAGCCTCACAGCATACCCTAGCTACCTCCTGATATTCATACCCACCCTTCTAAGCCCAGCATACTCAAAACTGAAGGATACACAGATGTGGCCACTTCCTGATCCAAGCTTCCAGGCCTGGCATCTCAGGCCTGGCATCTCTACTAAGCTCTAGGTATGGATAGCCACTTGCCTACCCAGTCATCAAATTAGCTTCTTATACTCAACACTGAACCCAATGTTTCCTGGGCCCTCTCCTCTTAGCTCTTCTCCATCATCAGAAACACCATGCACCCACCCAGTGGCTCAAACTCCAAATCTAGTCTTCATCCTTGAGCCTCCTCTTTCTCAGCATGCAACTCCACCACCGTACAACAGCAAGGTGCCATCTTGCCTCACCTGGAACAGGCCATCCCATGTTGGCCCTGGCCCATGACCAGCTTAGAAAGATCCTTTGTTCCTCATCTCAGGAAGCTTCTCCCAGTGATGGCAAACTGGCCAGAGGTCAAATGTAGCCCAGAGCCCATTTTTATAAATAAAGTTTTATTGTAACATGTCTGTGCACATTCATGTATAGGGTATGGCAGAGTTAAGTGGTGACAGGAATCATTTGGTCATAAAACCTGAAATACTGACAGGTTCCTGCCCTGTTTGCGTTCCTGTCCTGACTTCCTTCAATGATGAACAGTGCTGTTAAGTGTAAGACAAATAAACCCTTTCCTCCCCAACTTGCTTTTTGGTCATGGTATTTCCTCTCAGCAATAGAAATTCTAACTAAGATATCACTCATACATATATACCTATGACTAAAAGTTAAATGAATCTTTAAAAAACCAAGGTGGACAGCAATTGAGGAAGACACCAGACATTAATCTTTGGCCTTAACACACACACACACACACACACACACACACACACACACACACACACACACAC